CCCGGAGGCAGGGGCACGTGGAGGGCAGGGACTCGTGGCTTGGGTGCCAGTCCCAGGCCAGCTCCCTTGGCTCACACTGCCCACGGTTCCACGGGTGCTGTGTGAGCTGCGCACACGAGCTCGTCTCTGTGCACGCGAGCAAGAGTGCACAGTCCCTGTGCCCCCAGCTGGGACCCTCCCACGACCCGGAAGGCAGGAGTGTGTGGCAGGGCCAGCCTGCCGGGGCCTGTCCCAGACCTGGGTCACTGTCGTATCCTGGGGTGGGGGTGAGTCTGTCACTCACTGAGGGCTTCTCAACCTTCTCTGAGTCAAGGATGTCTCTGACAATCTGACGCAAGCAATGTCATCACCTACCAGAAAAGAAGGCTGTCTGGAGATTCAGCCAAAGCCACCCCCAGGCCCCACCTCACTCCTGCCTGGCCTCCCCAAGTGGGAAGGAATAAAACAGCCTCAGGCCTCAGGGGAGGTGACTGGCACAGGGTCTCGTGACCTGCTCAGGCCGCACACAGCTCCTCCCACTGGCCAGCCTGGGACACCTCTCGAGGACCCCAGGCCTTAGGCTGAGAATCACAACCCCACGTGGACACAGCCGCACCCCTCACTGCCAACGGGGAGACTAAGGCCCCCAGCCCACCTGGCCACACCCCCTCTGTGCTAGCCCCAAGCCCCTTGGCGCCCCAGGGGTCTGACCCAGAAGCCCCACTGGTCCTGGCAGGAGCGCCCTTGACCTGGGTCCCGGCTGGGTGGGCACAAGGCAGGTGAGGTGGCCAGAGGGGCATCCTGAGCACACTCCAGCGGAGACCAGGTGCAGACTGAGGGGCCGGGCAGGGCCCCATCTGATTAAGCTCATGGCTGAAGGTGGGAACCCGTGGGGCGGGGGTCCAGACACAGCATTCGTGTCTGGACAGCCGGGCTAAGCCTCGCAGGACCACCAGAAATAGGACGGCTGAGCACTGTCTGCTTTTGGTAAAATTTTTAAAAAGTCACGTTCGAGAACACTGGCATGTGGGCAGCACCAGGACACGAGGACAGACACCCGGAATGGACAGACCAAGACCTCAGGGGGAGCTCCCCCAGGCTGACCTCAGAGCAGGCCCCCACCCGCACTGACCTCCCTGTGGGCTGTGCCAGGCCCAGGTCGGGCGGGTGCCTCTGATTCACCCACTCTTGCCACCAGCTGTGGCCCCAGCTGGGGCGCTGGGGACACAAACACCCACTCCACGTGAAGCCCTCCTTGTTCTCCCTGAAAACCCAATGGGTCTAGACACTCAGGACTTTTAGGTAGGAGGAAGGGAAGAGAACGGGGGCAGCCCTAAACCTCAGGGCAGGAACAGCCTCAGGGTACTGGGCTCAGCTTCCCACGGGGAGCCACACCCCCACCCAGCAGGTCAGGCAGAGGGCATGGAAAAGGGGGCACCAAGGCTGCAGCCCCCCAGCTCTTGCATGGCTGCCGTAGGACGGTGCTGACGCAGGTGCCTAACTCAAGGAGCTGCATCAACAGGGCCCTCTGGGGTCTGCCCCTCCCGGTTCCTGCAGGGCACACACTAGGGACCTTTCTGGTCCCTCCAAGAGCCAGGCCACAGCCTACCTTCCCTGCCCTAGAGAATGTTCCAGAATGGACAGCGACATGCAATGGGGAGGGGTCGAGCACCATCAGCTGTACCCCAGGATGCCTCTGACTACAATGGACCTTCTCCCAAAGAAAAGGAAAGCTCCACATCAAACCTTGGCTTCCGCAGCTCAGCTGGGGACGGGCAGCTGGAGTCAGGCAGCGCTCGCGGCCCACACCAGGTCTTGGGGGCAGGGGCAACATGGTCGGGACCACCAGAGAACCGAGGTCTTCCAAGCACAGCAGCACACACACGACTTGCCTCAGACTTTACTCAGTCCTCGCCCCATGGGCATAAGGAGTATTGACCCTGTCTAGGAAAGGCCTCTGCAAAGCCAACCCACCGGTTGCCCACAGGACCACCCCAGGCTGTGTCCACAGTGGCAAAAGGCCCGGCAGGGAAGGCTGAGTCTGGTGGCAGGGCATGGAGGGGCCATGTGCTCACTTCCCACCGGCTCTCTTCTGCACCACCATGGGCTCCGCCAGTGCCTGCTGCTGAAGCTGCTGGAGCAGCTCTTCCACGTAGACCTTGAACAGAGGGACGGGGTCCTAAAGGGGGGAGGATCGCAGTGAGGCTCGTGCAGCCCAGAGCCTGGGGAACTGGGGCGTGAGAGGACCTGGGCTCTCAGGCCTGGCCACAGTGTCACAGAGGTGCTTGCCACCGCCTGGCCCCCAACCTGGAGGGCAGAGCCCTGTCCATGACTTGAGTGCCCCCTCTCTTGGGGAGGCTGGAGTCACATGCCTGCCCCCAGCTCTCCTGTGGTCAAAGATAAACCCAGCAGAGGGAGTGGACAGCCAGCCGCCACGCCACAGTGCACTCCCTGCCCTGCCAGCTACCATAGGGTCCAGACCCTTCCAGGGAATAGACACAAAAAGGAAGACAGACCCTGGGGACGCCGAGTGGCCAAGCAAACCCACAGCAGCGAGGATCCCACTCTTCCCATAAGGGTCTTGGGGCAGGAGGGGGTGGGGACCCCTATAGGAGGGAGTGTCCCGTGCTCCCCCAGCTGGGCAGAATGCCGTGTGCATCGGGAAGCTCCTAAGCCCACCCAGTGCAGTGGCCGCGTCCAGGCTCTCCCCAAGGCAGCGCACCTCCCCCAGCCCATCGGCCAGCCACGGGGGTAGCAGTGCTGGCACACACGCTCACCTTCTCTTCCAGAAGCCTCTGCTTCTCTATAGCCTCCTCCAGCGTCAGGCCGACCCACTCCGCCTCTGCCTCCGGGATGGCAAACTCCTGGGCAGGCAGAGACGGAACGCACAGTGAGGCCCAGGGCTGGCCCGGGCAGGGTGCTGGGGGGCGCAGGACAGGAAGTGCGGGTGAGCCCCCACCTTGTATTTGTCGTAGATGGCCGCCCTGCGCTCGGGGTCGTCCGGGTGCAACTGGGGGTCCTGTCGGGCGAGCCTCAGCAGCATCCCTCGCTTCAGGTCCATCCCGAACTTGGAGCACAGGTCCTCCTTTGGGGTCTGGCAAGAGGCTTGCGTGGGACCAGGTGCTGATGACAGGGGCCCCCTTACCCGCTAAAGGGCTCTTCTCTAGCAGGCCAGGCGTGGGGGATCAGGATACGAGCGAGGCCGTGAGCAGCACAGGAGTGGCTGTGCTCACTCGGATCCAGGGCAGGCCACCCGCAGTGACGGGCTCTCCTGCAGCAAGAGGCGCCCACCAGAGCTGCCCAGAAAAGGGCAGGGTCCCGTTCGCGTTTCGCTGGCGCTCCCCAACGTGGGCTGTGCTGGGCCTCCCTTGAGTCTGGCTGGCCGTGAGGCCCCCTGCGCACTGACCCCCGTGCACACCCACACCCCCACCGCACTTGCCTTGAGAATGTAGAAGTCAAACCCGTAGGCCTCGTCGATGAGATCCAGGGTCCGCATGGTCACGGTCACCGTGAACTTCTTGTCCAGGATTTCACTGTAGAGCTCTCGCTGAAACAGCTGTGGCTTCCATATCTTCTTCAACCTCTTTGAGAGCTGAAGGTGCAAGACAGAGACTCCATGAGTACTGCTGCTTCTCCCTACAGACCAAGTGGGGCCCCAGGCACCTTCCTGGTGGGGCCAGGCCTGTGGGGTCCCCAGTTGGCCTCATGCTTCCCTGGAAGAGACTCCATCACAGACCCCTGCTAACAGACTCGGGACGCAGAGCTGGGTGGACCAGGCCCCCAGCCCTGGACCTGGCTGTGCACCTACAGCTGGCTTCTCCCTTGCTAGCTCAGCACCCCCGACCCTTGCCCCCAGGTTGCTGATGTGTGTTCCAGATACAAGCACAACTGTCACCCCAAGCCCAAGCCCTCACATCCCAAACCAGGAACCAAGGGGCCTCAGGCAAAGGGAGAAGCCAGCCTGGGAGGCCGGGACGGCAAGGTGATGGCGTGGAGGTCGCAAACACACAAGTCTCCCCCCAGAGGGCTCAGCAGCCCCCTCCAGGACTCCCACCGACAGCAGTCTCAGGAGCCTGGGTTCTGCCCCTTGCAAGGCGCCTGACCCGAGCGAGTCTCAGCCTTCCCGACCCCGAGGAAGCAGCAGCGACGGCCTCGCGGCTGCCGCGGGAATCAGGCAAACTCCGGCGAGTCCTGCCCTCCTCAGGGCACCGGCCTCCTCCAGGGCCTCTGCACTCGCCGTGTCACCGGTCCGGGCCGCCGGGCTCAGGACTCCTCGGCGGGTTTACGGAACCGCGGCCCCCGGGCCGCCCGCGCGCGCCCTCCCCGCTCCCCCGCGGGAGCCGCACCTTGTCGTTGTTGGCGTATCTGTGGCCCAGGATCCAGCCCTCGCCGCCCCACAGCCCGCGCTGGGACTCCGGGGGGAAGTGGAGCGGAATGGGCACGTCCTCCACGCGCTCCCGCTGCCCGTTCTTGGGGTTGACCTTGAACTTGGCCCCGTGCGGCCGATAGTGCACGGGCGCGGGCGCGCGCGTCCGCTCCAGCGAGCGCAGGTAGTGCCCCGGCAGGCGCGCGCAGATGCCCTGCCGCAGCCGCAGCCGCCACCACAGACACACCGGGAACTTGTGCAGCGGCATCGCGCCGACCCGGAACGCCGCGCCCGCCGGAACCGGAAGTCGCCCCGCTGCGTCCTCCCCGCCGCTGATTGGCTGCACGGCCCGCCCGTCTCCCCCGCGCCCCGCCCCCGCCCCCAGGGACCGTGGAAAACACCTTGTGGAGACGGCAGCTGCAGCGGCTCAAGGCACCGTCGGCAATGCGCGGCCAGCCATCCCCGCCAGCCGCGGCCCCGCCTCCCCTTCTGGGAAAGAGCGCAGGAAAAAATGTAAGAACTCGTTTAGCTTGAAAAATCACTGTCGAATATTGAATTCACCAATCACAGCGAAATCAGATCTACATAAAAATATATCTCAGAATTTTTACCCCCAAAACACCATATATACATGTTTCCCTTTACAAGCCTAGAGATTGCTTTGGTGGTCAAGGGCAGGGTGGCTGGGGATGGGGAAGGCCCCCGGGAAGAAAGGCCACGCCCTGGGCAGGACCCAGAAAAGAAGGCCCCAGAGCCAGAGGGCAGGGACGACCCCACCCTGGCGTCCGCAGCCAGCTTCTTGGGGGCCTGGCCGAGACCACTGCTGCAGACAGCAGCCCCTCCACTCTTGCCTGGGGTGGGGCAGGGCTCCTGGCCCTGGCTCCCTGCCCCAGGCTTCAAGAGGAGCAGGAAAGGGCTGTCCCAGTGCAGGGTTAGCCGCAGCCCCTGGACCAAGAGGATGCTCCCCACACAAGGGCCCAGGACCCTGGGCAGGCAGTGACACAGCCGGGGAGGCTGTGCCTTGTACACCGTCCCCAGGCAGCTGCAGCTCCCTCCCTAGGAGGCTCCAAAGCCGGCTGAAAGGGCAGGCAGTGCCCACCAGCTCTCTAGGGACTTTGGCCTCTCCCCACAGCAACTGCAGCAGCAGGGGGTTCCTGTGCCCAAGGCAGGCTGGCATTCAGGGCACTCAGTGCCAGGAGGGCACAGCTGCCAGCCTCAGAGGTGGGCTCGGGCATCCTTAGCCCTGTGGGTCACAGGGGAACAGGGCAGTGAGGATTCTTTCTCCACATCCCCGACCACCCCCAGGTCAGCGGAGCAGAGCCCCTCTCTGCACAGGGCACATGTGTTCCCCAGGCAGCCAGGCTCCAGGGGCCACTGCAGGCAGCAGTGACCAGTCAGCCAGCAGACACAGGGAGCTGGGAGTGCTGGTGAGGGGCAGGCCTCTCCTGGGGAGGAGGAAGCAAGAGAGTGCTCAGGCCAATTTTATTCAGCTGGTCATCAGTTGGAAGAGGCTGGACAGGGCTCTTCTGCTTGACCCTGCTGCTGGCTACAGAGGTCATCAGAGAGCAGGGGCCCTGAGCCGGCATCACGTCACCGTGTACAGCTCGTCCCGGTCGTTCCTGCAGATCTGATAGTGGCAGGGCAGCCTCTGTGGGCAGGCCCAGGGCTCCGTGTGTTCCTCCCGCGGCGGCAGCAGTAACGCTGCGCTCCCTGCCAGCAGCACGTGCCAGATGCTGTGGGTGTAGTAATAGTTCTCGGCAGTCATCAAGGCAGTGTAGATGGCGACGCCCGCAGAGGCCATGGAGATGCCAGGCAGGAGGTAGAAGGCCCAGCGCTGCCACGAGCTGGGATAACACTGGCGCCGGTGCCCGCAGCGGTACACCTGGAGAAAACAGCCGGGCAGGTGTCAGCACAGGTGGGGCTGCAGCTGCAGCTCCCAGGCCCAGGGCTGGTGGTCACAGGGAGGTCCAACCAGGTCCGGGCAGCAGAACCGTGAGGGTGAGCTGCTCCGAGGGGGCTCGAGGGCACAAGGCCACTGGTCCTCAGCCCCAGCCTCAGACACACAGCTGTGCTGGGCCTCTGTGGACGCCACTGGCAGCCCCTAGTGGACTCAGGGCATTTGGTGGCCAGAACAGGAGCAGAAATGTGGTCAGAATGAGGGGCCAGGTCCGGCAGGAGCACCTGCCTGCCCTGACTCCTTACCCACATGGAGACCATGATCACGAAGGCAAAGAGGCAGGGCCCCATCAAGTTCCAGGCGCCCCTGCGGTCCAGCTGCAAGGACATGGCGATGACCAGCGTGCCCAGGAGAAACAGGACCTGTGCAAGACATAGGGGTGACTGCAGGGTCGTGGGAGCCCTGGGCTAGGTCAACTGTGATGGCACAAGACCCAGCAGGAGCAGGCTGTACCCCCCCTGCCCCCACAGCACCTCTGTCCGCCCCTCTTGGAGCTGCTGGCACCCTTTGAGCAGATCTGTCCCCTCCTCCAGCTGCTGTATTGCATCCGCAGGCAGATGTGGCCTTGGCATTTCTGGGGCACAGACATGGCCAGGCAGGCACCTCTAGAAGGGACTAGAAGTTGGTGCCCCTCCCTAAGGTAGGACACTGTCACACAAACTGGACAGCCCCATGTGGCAGCTCTGTACCCACAAGCTCATCTGCCCCCTGCACCCCTGGGTCTCCCATCAAGGTGGCCTCAGCCTCCCCGCTGCTGCTCCAGAGGAGGGGCTCCCAACCCACGTCTCCCTCAGCAGCTTCAATCCACGACCTGCAGTTCTCCACCTCTCTGCAAGTTCATGTCCCCAATGCTCAGCCCTGCTGGACTCTGGTGCTGCCAAGCCTCCCCTCCACCACCCCGTGCCTTGACTGTGGGGCTCCCATGGGCCCTTCAGGGCAGTACCCAGCCTGCAGCTCCCAGAGCAGACCCAGTGAGGACAGAGGGTGCAGCTCACGGGCACCAGGGCGCTCGTCTCCATCAGCCAGGACCAGCCGCTGCAGAAAGTCCCATGTCCCTGGCACCAGGGACCCCAGGAGCATGGCTGGGGCTTCACAGGGAGGCCTGGCCTGGGGTGGGCTCCAGGCCCCTCTCAGAACAGGGCCCTGGGAGAAGGCCTGGGGGCCTCGCCTAACCCTGCCCATCACCTTCCTTCCTGGCATCCCCCAAACAGCGGGCACTGTTCCCTCGCAGCTGCCTATGGCTCCTTCTGAGGGCAGCTGGCATCCCGTGAGATGCACAGGGCCGCGGCCCAACACCCGTGCCGGCCTCTCCCTCCACACTGCTCTGTGCGTGCCGCACTTGAGGGCCTCTGCTCCCCCACAGCCCAAACCCCCGTGTCCAAGGTCCGAAGGCCACGCACATATTTGAGGACTGTCTTCAGCCGCGCCATGCAGAGGATGGTGACCCAGGTGGACACCCCGGAGCCCAGAAAGTCACAGTACTGCAGTGTGTCGTAGTTGAGGATACAGAGCACCGCCTTGCCGGGCTGGTCGCAGGCGTGGTAGAACTGCAGGGGGCAGGGGACAGTGAGCGAAGGCCCGGGCCTCCCCGCCCCAGGGTCGCCGTGGGAGGGGCCTGGCCTACCGTGGAGAAGAACATGGTGTAGGCGTAAACGGAGGCCTCCACCAGGAAGAAGCGGTGCACACAGACGGCGATGGGAGCCAGGAACATGAGGTTGCTGAGCGTGAGCAGCAGCGCGGCCGCCCTTTGCTGCCCCACGGTCTGGGCCGTGCTGTTGTCAGTGCAGCTCCACCCACGCCAGCCTGGGGGGACACAAACCTCAGGGCCCATCCCGCTCCCAGGGCCCCACAGAGAACCCCCTTCCTGACCCAGGAGCATGCCCAGCTGCCATGGTGGGGAGGCCAAGGAGGAGGCACTGCCACCCCTGGGGACGCCTCACTGTGCCTGTGCCCAGGTGGACGGTGGGCGGCTGGTGGGGGCCTTGAGGCATGGGGAGCAGGCATTCGCCCCTGCTTGGCCCTGCAGGGGTGCTCTCTCCAGCCCCCGGTGGAGCTGTCCCCAGGGGAGATGGCCAGGAAGCCAACGGCAGCACTGTCCCAGGCACGCAGGGCTCTGGCCCTCACCTGCCTTGCAGCTGCATCCCGCATACAGGTAGCCGTGTCTGCGGAGCAGGAGGCACTGGCCATAAGGTCCACAGTCGTCCAAACAGGGCACGAGGTACAAGGTGGTCTCCACTCGGACCACGGCCTGCTCACAGTCCCTTTGAGGAAGGGGCCACAGAGGGCCGGCTGCAGCATTCTGCAGGCAAGTCTATCCCTGGTGCTCCCCATAGGCCGACGGACATATGAACCCAGAATTGGGGGCTCCCCAGCCTGCAGCAGCCCTGGAAGAAATGCCCCTCCCGCTGGGTCACTCCCAGACTCCAACCTCGGGCAGCCCCGTGCACAGCCCTGAATGTGACAACCTGGCGCCTGCCCACGCTCCAGCCCAAGGTCCTTACTCTGGACTCTCGGGGCACACCAGCTGCAGGGACAGGTACCAGTTGTCTGTCTCTGGGTAGGGGATGATGAGCTTGGCCTTGCGGGACGAGGCGCTCAGAGACAGGCGGTAGCCCTGGAAGAAGGCTGTGGGGGTGTGGGAAGCCTGTCAGAGGCAGAGGGCATGGCCAGGGCACCCTGCCCCCACTGCCTGCCCATCACACCTGTGCTGCAGTTGTGGGAGGCGTTGAAGCTGAGGAAGGGTGAGGCAGCGTTCACGCAGGCCGCCACCAAGGTGCTGTTGGCAATCTCCGTCTGCAAGGGAAAACGGTGCAGGGTTGGCCCCCCGAGAGGCAGTCGGGCTGTCTGTCCTACAAGCCAGTCTGGTGCTTGGTGCCTTTCTCTGGGGCTCCTACTGGCCCAGGGCCCACCAGGGACCCTTCCTTCCCAGGTGTGGGCACCCTGCCACGAGCCGCCTCGAATCCTCACCACTGCACAGCCTGGGGTGTCCTGCAGGGAGGGCCCCCTTGGATGACCCCTATGCTGGCCCATGCCTGCTGGTGTCACTTTGCTGCCTGAAAGGCTGCCCTGACCCAGTCCCTGTGTCGAGGTGAGTGCACAGAGGCATGGGCAGGTCAGGGCCAGGCCACGAACTGCCTTCAGACAGGCCCGGCGCTGCCGGACAGCGGTACCTTGTTGGTGCTCAAGGAGACGGTGAGGGAGCCCCCGCCGTCCATGCCCGTGTTGAGATGGAGCCGCATCACGGAGGGTGTGTCCACACGCACTGTCACCAAGCCCCTGTCCAGGAGCTGGAAGCGCACGGATGCCACATCCAAGTCCTCCCGAATGACTGGGTAGCTCAGGAGGCAGAAGGGGTCACCGCCCCAGCCGCCGTTCTTGCCCAGGTCCCAGTGGCTGGGGCCCAGGGACGGCTGCACAGTGGAGGTGTTGTAGCCCCGCTTCTGGCTGCTGTGGGTCATGCTCCATGGCCTGCAGGCTGCTGGAGGACACGGAGCTCAGCTGCAAGAGGCCCGGGGCCCAAGGAGAGGCAGAACCACTCCCAGCCTCCCCCTGCAGCCCACCTGTGAGGGCAGCTACGGCACTGAAAGCCACCGCCTTGTGGGGTCCTGCCAGGCTCTCAGCTGTCACTTGCAGCCATCGGTCCCAGGGCGGCGAGGGCAGCAGCAGGCGGCAGGGCCAGGTGGGGCTGGTGCAGGTGAGCACCTTCTGGAAGTTGCTGGGCAGGGTGACGGAGCCCACGGTGAGACGCACGGGGCAGCCCAGGCTCCCATTGGATGCACAGCCCTGCAGCTCCAGCTGCAGCTCCTGCGTGTACTCGGGGACAAAGATCCTACAAGGACCAGGAGAGGCCTTGTGAAGGGGGCCAAGCATCTGGACCCACTTCGAGAGTGACCCTGGGGCCCTGGGCTCTGTTCGCTCCCCCACTCCACCAAACCCGGAGGCCAGGTCTGTAGGGCACACCCCTACTCACTTGAGGTAGCCGGGGCGGGAGAGGAGGGTCTGCGGAAGAGGCACGTCGGGCTCCATGATGGAGACCTTGACCACCCTCGTGACCAGCATGTCAGGCTGGAAGATGTAGGCACAGGTGGGAATAAAGCCCTGGGGAGAGGACAAGGTGTGGGGGTCGGACCCAGCCCCAAGCAGTGAACGACGGGACTGGCCGTCCACGCATCCAGGGCTCTGCCCTGACCCCTGAGCTCTGGGGGCTGCCCTCACCTTCACCTGGATCTTCTGGGAGGAGGGGGGCAGGTGGGCAGCCACAAACCAGTCCCCGGGTGCCGGGTGGGAGACGTTGACGGAGGCGTTGGTCAGCAGCACGGCGCTCAGCGGCACGCTGACGTGGAAGGACGGCTGCACCGAGGTGCCGTCCGGGAAGCTGGTCCCCAGCGGGTTGATGACTGGGGGAGCGCCGTAGCGGAAGTGCCTGGAGACAGGAGCGCAGGCCAGGTCAGGGGCAGGGGCGGGGCCACGGCCAGGTGCAGCGGGCAGGCGGGCCACCACCTACACAGTGATCTCCACGTCCGAGCATGTGGGGCCGCTGCCCCGGGACACTTGCAGCAGCCAGCGCAGCAGCACGGTGTCCGGCGGCACGTGGAAGCGGAAGAGCCTGGCGCTGCCGTACCAGCTGTAGAAGGACAGTCTCTGCGGGGCCTGCGAGAAGTGCTCGGACACCAGCCCAGCCTCTGCGGGGAGAAGGCACCGTCAGCCGGACCCAGGAGCCCCCCTCCGGGGCACAGGCGGGGAGAAACGAGGACGCTTCGAGCACGGGGGCTCCATTTGGAGGCCCCCAGAGGGAGAGGACTCGGGAAGCCAAGGGTGGACCGACGTGGAGCCCCCAACATGCCAATCTTGACCTTGGCGAGAGCCGCTGCCCCCTCTGGCCCCTGGAGGTTGTCTTGGGCCGGTCCAAAGTTTCTCCTCAGCCTCCTCTGCCAAATGCCCACATCCCGCCCACCAGACCCCGGGCCTCCTCACACCACGCCACTGCAGCAGCTTCACGGCTCCCCCAGCACCCACCGCCCCAGTGGCCTCCAACCGTAAAAGGACCCTACTCTCCAGGGCCAACCCCTTGCTGCCCAGCAGTCAGTCAGCCCCGCGGCCTGTACTGCAGCCCTGGCACATCCAGGCCAAGGTCAAAGCCAAAGGACACAGCAGGTGGTCAGGTGGGAGTCCATGCCCCTCCTCACATCTGCCCAGATGCTCGACACCAGGACACACTCCTTCCTCCCACCCCCCTGAGCCTTCCGTAGCCCGTGTCTGTTCCGGCCACTCTACTGGACAGGTGAGGAGGCTCAGGTCCAGAGGCTGCTGCTCCAGCCTGTGAAGACTCAGGACGCAGCCGGACCAGAGCCCAGGTTCCCCCTTACCCAGGAAGAGACCCTGAGTGGGGGAAGGCACCCCATGCCAGAAGCCTGGCCAGCCCGGGGGACAAGGGGCAGCTGGCCCCTGTGCTCCAAATGGGTGAGGCTCCTAATTACCCTTAGGGCACAGTGCCCATGCCCCATGGTGCAGGGCGAGACAGGAGCCCACAGGAGACTCACTGCCCATGGCCCCAGCCCCAGCTCAGCCGCATGCTCTGTGTGACCTTGGGCATCCCGTCCCCTCTCTAGGTCCCAGCTTCCTCTGGGTAGGTTGAAGTGGACAGCCCCTCCCTCTTAGGTTAATGAACAGCAAAGTGTTTCAGGAAACAGTGTATTGTGGATACAACAGGGGTGGCCTCATTCTCCTCTGAGCTGGGTGCTCCCCACCCAGCCCACCCAGCAGTCTCCCTCTGCCCCACTGGGAGAGTAGCCGGCTCATGCCACCCTGGCAGCAGGCCCCCTGTAGCCCTGGCCCCTCCAGGAGAGGGGTGGGGAGCCAGGTGAGCAGTGAGCTCTCTTGCCAGCCTCCTGAGCCCTGCCATAGAGGCACCTGGAGAAGAGATAACAGCCTGTTGGCAAAGCCAGTCCAAGCTCCATCCCAAGGAGCCTTGCCTGGGGGGCTGGGCAGGGGTAAGCTCCACCCACAATGTATTCCAGGCTTTGCAGGTATCAGGTATCTGCTGGTCAACAAGTCCCAGCCGCTGGGCTGTGGCCTGAGTGCCAGGAGCTACAGACTCTCCAGAGGTGCTGCAGGCCTTAGGCTAGAATGATGATGCAGGCAGAGAAAACTAAAGTGCCGTGCGTGAGCTGAGGCAGGGCAACCCCCGGACCACGGTGTCCTGGAGAAACAGCCAGCTGGACACCCAGCCTCTAAGGGGGCCAGGCAGTGGAGGTCACCCTGCAGTGTGCCGCTCCCCGACCTGCCACGGGCAAAGCCCTCGGGCCCTGTGTCCTGGAGTACCAGCCCGAGGACACCTGGAACCCTCTGGTGAAGTTTCAGCAGGTACACAAGAGATAAGATCTGCTCAATGTTGCTGTAACACCCACTCCCTAACTCCCAGGGCCACACAGCCTCTCCGAGGGCTCTGCAGCCCAACCGCCCTGCCCAAGATGCCCACACTATTATCTTGGGGAACCAGGCTGTTAGCATGGTGGGCTGAGCCAGATGTGACATCAGGAGGGGTGAGGAGGGCTGGGGACGCACACCCTCCATGGACATAGGACTGGGCAGGGAAGAGAGGAAGGTCCCTGGGCCTGTCCAGGGAACCCAAGCGAAGGTACTCTGCCCCATATCCCGCAGACCACGACCCTGCCCACCCACACACCCCAGAAGCCAGGGCCACAGAGCTGCCTGCCCCTCAGCAGGCCTAGGAGGAGGTGAGGGGCTGAGCCATGTTCCCCAGGCCCCCATGCTGCCCCCACCCAAGTGTTCCATCTCCACATACCACCCCACCGTGACCCCTCGCCCAGGCCAGATCCCTGGAATGCAGGAAAGGGGGGCCGTATCCAATGGGTCAGTTTAATCAAGAGCATGATCCTCAGGGAAAACTGCCTTTCACTTCAAGCTGTGCCCTGTGCCGAGCTCAGAAACCAGAAGGCACAGCCCTCAAAAGAAATTGGAGCCTGGAAGAGCAATATTTCAGGGAAGCGAGGGAGGGGCCGGGAGCCAGCCCCAGGCAGCACTGCCTACTGCCCAGGGGGGCGCCTGAGTGGCCAGGGGCGTGCCGACCCTCCCAGTCAGCCAGCCGGAACACTCGACCCCTGGGAGTGCCTGGCTTGGCTGTCCGGCCTCAGTCCCTCCACCTGGTCTAGCCACGCCCTTGGACCTCATTCAGGGTGGGGACCCTCTGGGAGCAGAAATGCAAAGGGAGCCCAACAAGTTCCCAAAGAAGGGGGACGCTCCTTTCCTCAGACCCACCCTGGCTCACTAGCTGCTCGGGGCCCGCTGGAGCCCGGCCTCCTCGAAGCAGGGCCAGCTGTTGGAAGTGAACGCGCTTGTGCGGTGGTCACCGGGAGGGGGGACACGACGCCCAGGGCCCTGCTCCAGAGCCCGAGGAACTTTCCCCGGCTCTGCCCGTCTACCAGCGCAGCCGGGCCCGGCGCCCGCGCGCAGCCGTCCTTCCCCGCGGGCCTCTCCGCGAGTCCCACCTGGGCGCGTAGGGAGGAGGGAGCGGAGAGGGCGCTCAGGGGCCCATCTGGCGAACCCGGATGGGGGACAGAGGACGGAGCGCAGCCATCCTTCCCACCCCGCCCTCCGACAGCGGCGCCCCCAGCCCGGTGAGCGCACAGGTGCCCCCAGGTGAGTCACAATCGCGGCCCCGCCCGGCCCCCGCCCGCGGCCCCCGGACTGCGCCCGCCGGCAGCGCTTGCTCACCGCTCTTGCTGCTGTCGCCGGCGGCAGGCGGGGGCCGAGCGAGCAGCAGCAGCAGCAGCAGTGGCCCCGCCAGCGCCACGGCCACCGCCTCGCTCCCGGTCCCGGTCCCGGTCCCAGCCCGGCCCATGGCTCCGCTCGGCCCGGCGCTACCCGCCCCGCGTCCGCCGCCGCCCGCCCCCGCCGCCGCCCGGGCAGCCCCCGCCGCCTCTGCGGCCGCCGCCGCAGTCTCTGCCCGGGGCTCCCATGGCCCGGCCGGTCCCCGCCGCCGTCGCCCCGGGCACTTCCGCCTGCGAGGCCCCGCCCCGCGGGGAGCCGGGGCGCCGGGGCGCGGGCTGGGTGGGGCTCGGGGAGCCGGGTCCGGGGGCGCGGGCGCTGTGAGGACGGAGCACGGAGGAGCGCGAGGGAAGAGGCTGGGGGGAGGTGGCGATGGGCAGGGAACGCGGACCGGCGACCTGGCGCGCAGCGTTGGGCGACACGGGGCGGGAGAGGGTGCCGGGTGGCGTGGGGTGCAGGGGGTTCGGGCAGCGGAGGGGTCGCGCGGGGCGGGAATGGGAACGCGCGGGAGGTGCCAGGCGGTGGGAGGGGACGGGGCGCCCCACACTTCTTCCTGGAGGCGCTGGGACCCCCACGGGGTCGGATCACGGAACCGTGAGCCGCGCTGCGGGCCGGACGCGCGGCGACGAGGCCGAGCGAGCTCCCGGGGCTCTCCCCACGGTCCGCACGGACCTGCGCTGGTCGCCCGGCCGAGCCGGAATCCCCCGGCCGGGACCCCCAGGCCTTCGCACCAAAAAGCTGCTACGCGCGTGTGTAAAAAACGCTTTCATGGAAACGTGAAAAAGCTTCTTGTACGCGATTTTAGTATGCGATAAAGGTGGCGGGATTAACTCCTCGCACTTCGTGCGGGAAGGAATCCAAAAAAAATAAAAAATTAAACAAAAAAAAAAGAAAACAAAAAAACCCCAAAACCCAAAAAAAAAACTGCCGGGGGCCTTGGCAAAAGCCGGGGGAAGAAGCCCCTCCGAAGCCAACAAGAAAACCAAAAGACGTCAGAGGTAAGACTGAGAAATTTAATGCGGTAAAGGAAAAAGTTTTCTGCAGAGAAAAACTGCTTAAGTGAAGTTAAAAAAACAAGCCATAGACGGGGGTGGGGGGCGTGCTTGCAACTCAGGCCACAAAGGGCTAATCTTAATAAGGTTAAGACCAAAGAGCTACAGATCCATGATCCCACCAGGAAATGACCAGAGGATTCCTTGCCACCTGGGTTCCCGAGAAGGATATGCAAATGACACAGGAACAGGCTTCAACTTCCCTCATAAAGAAAATGCAAATTAAAAGCACTGAAATGACTTTTTTTCTTTCACCTAATTAATTGGCCAAGTTCTAAAAGTTTGATCACCCCAGAAGGGTGAGATTGCGCCCGAGAGACGCGCTTATGCTCCTTGTGGCTGGTCAGCGTGAGGGTGAGCCGCCTGGGGGCCTGGGACTCCTCCGCGGAAATAGAGCACAGCGCCCTGGACGCAGGCATTCCACGCCCGAATGTCCCCGCGGCCGTGCGAGGCCACACGTGCCCGCCGCTGTTCAGTACAGCGCACTGGATTGAGTACATCAGGGGATGGGCGTTCAGATCATAGGGTCCACGCCGCGGCTCAAACACCGCACGCCAGTGTGGCTGCACAAGGAGAAATAGGAAGGCTTTGTACTGGTTGGAAACGGTCTACCAGATACAGCACTAGCTGGAAAAAAGGAGTGGGCAGGACAGTGTGCTCAGAGAGCTGCTGTTTTTGTAGAAAAGGGAGAAAAATACATTTCATTTGTGTGTATCAAAGGCACAGAGTAGCTCTGGAAGGATCCAGCAGCAGGCTACACTGGTTGACCCTGGGGGAGGGGACCTGGTGTCAGGGAGGGTGGTGGTGGTGTCGACTATACCGGTCTGTGCCTTTTGAACTCTGTGTTTGGTGGTGGGCAGTGAGGGTCTGGGGTGGGGGAGAGGAAGCTGACCCGGAAAACCCAAGGCCACTGAAGGCCAGAGAAGGGGAGGTGGAGGGTGTTGGCCAGGGAGGAAGGAAGCCCTGGGTACAAAGCCATCAAGAGATCCTTTGTTCCCCTGGAATCTGGGCTGGGCCCCCCTCAACCCTGGCTGCGGGGGGCTCCCAGGTGGTTCTCAATTTAAAGGGACAGAGGTCAGATTCTGGATTTTGCTGAACGGTGGTTTTTGTGCACTGCACTGCCCCCACTGAGCTGGCTCTGAGTCACGCGAGGACAGCAGCTGTGGTCAGCAGCACTGGGACTGTTCCATCCAGGTCCACTCCCTGCTCCAGGCTGGGCGCCCTCCCCCCACTGCCACACCACAGCCCTCCCCTGAGTGTGTCACCTTAGTGAGGTTCCTGTGCCCAAGTTCCCCAGCGGGGAGGAAGGGAGGCAGCGGTCCCCCCACCCTGTGCTGCATAGGAAGGCTGGGGAACTTGCAGGTGGACAAGAAGCCCTGGACTCTGCTGAGTGGCTGAGCTGTAGCAGTGGGAAGAACCCTGCAACATGAAACGCTGCTCAGGGATGCTAGTGGTCAGGGGACACGTTGAAACCAGGCACCTGGTCAAAACGCAGCTCGCGCAGCTCACACTTTGCTGGCAGGAACGTGAGCTGCCTGACCCTTTTGAAAATTAATGTGGCAATATTAAAATGTAATACAATACACAAGAGTGCTTGCAGCAGAATTGTTGATAGTTGCAAAAACCTGGGAGCTCTGTGAGGGGAATGGGTGAATAAATGATGATATAGATATGTTCTGAAATTTTTTTTTTTTTTTT